ATTCACTCATGTGTTGTATTTAGAGACTATCCAAGGCTCTAAATGCTCCCTCACACATGAATCTTTGTAGTTTGGAACCAAACTCTAAACTATCAACCCTTGTGTTGGAACATAAGAAACCAACATATTTCTTCTCATGCAAGATATTCTAAAGTATCATTGCATGTCTTTTAACTTTAGGACCAAATCTTAGGTTCTTTACTCCTCTTGTTTGTTGGTACAAAATCAACAAGTTAATGTTAGCCTTTCTTCAACCCCTAAGTTGTAGGAAATCTATCAAACCATTTGTTCATTGGAACACCAAACCAATAAATGATTTCTCGGCCTTAGGATTCAAATCCTAATCCCTTCCTCCTACGACTCAAAATTGTAAGAAAATATCTAATCCCCCTCATTCTCCTAAACCATGTTAGGTGAGTGAATCCTTTTCTTTGGGCACCTAAAAGCCTAATGAATTCTTAGGAATGTGGAATCTATAAATTGCACATGTTTTCCCTTTTTCTACAACCCAAAAGTTGTAGGGAAAATCATCTCACCCTCCTAAAACTCAAAATTAGGAGAATGTACCAATCTCTTTTGAGCACCAAATGTTCAAAGGATTTCTATGATTTGCAACTTCTAAGTTACATTTCACTCTTCCCTTTCCTACAAGCTAAGATTGTAGGATAGTATCTAAACCTATCTTCACCCTCTCAAACCCAAGTTGGGAGGATGAATCCCCCTTTGAACACCAAGAGTTTAATGATATTCATGAGTTGCAACCTCCAAGTTTGCACATTCCTTTCTTCCACCAAACAAAACGTGTAGGAAATCTCTACATTCACTTAGCCTAAATTAAGTGAATGTGAGTCTCTTTCTTTGAACATCAAATGTTCAAAGGAACATGAAACACTCAAGGAAAATCTTTCACTTTGCAACCTTCAAGTTGCATTTCCTCCCCTTCCTACAAATCTAAATTGGAGGTAACCACCAAGTTTCCTTCATTTATCTTAACCCAAGTTAAGAAAATGAAACTCCACCTCCTTGAATATAAAAATTCAAGGAAGCACCTTCTTGATTTGTAGCATTAAAGTTACAAACCCTCTTTCACTCCTATAGACTCCAAAAGTCTTAAGGAATTCCTTACCTTAGCTCAAAGCCATAGGTTCTTTCACTTTTCTTACAACACAAAAGTTGTATGAAGCCACTTTCACTCAACCTATATTGAGTGATCCAATTTTGTCCCAAATTATCTTACTTGTTGAACCAAAAACAACAAGTAAATTCACCCCAAGCTTAGGATTCAAGTCCTATTTCCTTTTGCCCTTCCAAACTCAAGTTGGAAGGGGGCAATTCTCTCTTTGGACGTCAAAATGTCCAAAGACCTTCATGAATTTGCAACCCAAAAGTTGCATTTTCTCCCAATCCTCCTCCAACTCCAAAGTTGTAGGAGACTTCTCATCTCTTTAGCTCCAAAAGCTAGAGAGAGCCCTCCAACATTTAGCTCAAAAGCTAAACGTTAGATTCCTACCTCCTCTTCTTAGCTCCAAAAGCTAAGGAGAATTTTCCTCAACATGTGGCCCAAAAGTTACATGTTGGACACTCCTTCCTTAGACCCAAACTCTAGAAGGATCCTTAGTGTGACATACCACACAGACCTCACACACTTAGATGCACAACCCCTCAGGCATGCTAGGATTAGGATTTTTCTTTGTGTGCGCATGTGATTGATATTGTGGAGTGATTGACTTTTGGATTGTCTGCGTTGTGGGCACTTGCCCTTAAGTGGTTAGTGTAGAAAAATATAAATGCTTTTCTGTGCAGGTGGCCATATCTAAAAGGGGGGCGCTCATAAATAATAATAAACTGCTTGCATGAAAAGTACTGCTTAAAACCCCCCTCAAAGATGTGGCCAATAGGGTAGAAGCAGGGGGCCTAGCACTTAGCACTCTAAGTGTTAGGCCAATTTTGAGATGATCATATTTCTGTTATATAAACTGCTGCCTGACTATGTTTTGCAGATTTGAGTCTTTTTCTTTTTACACAATATATTTGATTAGATCTAGGGTGTGAAACTTGTGGGGTTTGGATCAGAAAGCAAGGAAGATCAAGGGAGAAAGTACCATTTTGGAGATGAAGCCCAAAGACCTCCTTGAAGGTTAAAGCTTGAAGATCCCCACAAGTAGAGTATGTAATTAATTTAACTGGGTTGTATAATGGCAGACAACTCAGCTGCCAAATCTGGTTGTAATAAATTGGACTGTATTTACATTTCCTGCACTTTGTTTATAAATAAAATCATGCGTTGTTTGTTTACTGGGTGTGCAATAGAACTGCATGTCTTTCCTAGGTTTCTTCTTTTGTTTCTGTGGGCGTGGCCTGGACTTGACTACGTTAGGCTCTTAGGATAAAAATTAAGTTTTCTACCCCTTTAAAATGTAAGCAACCTAAAATAAAATTAGGCTTCAAGGTTTTCTAACAAAAGAAAATTTACATGGCTCTCTTTTAAAGGGTCAAGTTTTCCAAAAGCTTAAAATAATTATGCATAGCCCAAGCATGTTGCATATAGAATGCCTCCATATAAGGATTAGATAACAAAAGTCTTTTTCTTTGTGAGTCAGTATTTGCATACACACATACTTAGGCATCTTGGCCTCAAAGCCAAGCTATAAGACCTACCTTCTAAACAAAAAACAACCCTACCTCTCTACATTTGCATTGAGACCGAATAACATGGTTTTAAAAACGATTAGGAGGAGTTTAGCTGGTAGTCTCTTCCAGGCCGGACAATAAATCCAGAGGTCGGGCGGGTTATGCCGCTTGTGAGGTGTAGCTTGTAAGTCCCTCTTTGTACTCGTTAGATCTAGGTTCGAGGAACTACCTGTCGGTAGTCATCACCTTAGTCTTAGGGTCCGAGGCATGGGTTGATTCCAAATCACCCTATAAGCCCTCATTCCTTCGGGCAATTCCTCCAACAAGTGTTGTTGGGATGTAAGCCTCAATCTTCTAATTAAAATATCAACTTGAACCAAATTTAGATTCAAAAATGTAAAGCCTAACATAGGATAGTTTGGGCACCTCTGAGTTTCTTCTCAGAATCAAGTGGTTCTACTTCACCTCCTTTGACTTTTGTTCCCAAAATCTAATCCTAAGTTGATCCACTCCTTGAAATTCCTAAAGGCCAAATCCTTTTGCTAAGATTTTCATGGACTTCAAAACACAACAAATTTTAGCCAATGTCTAAAATGACTTTAAAAAAAAGCAAAACCACTAGTTTAATCAAAAGTTTTCCCAAATCAAACTTGAGATGTAATTAACCATAGGGGCTTGCCCCTATGGGATGTCTGTAACCCAGAAATAAATAAACCCCGCTCGACCAAACATCGAGTGGGGGAATCTCTGTTAAATAATTGTAAATTTTATTATTGAGCCCATAAGAAAATAGTATTTTTACTCTCCGGGGTAATATATCGTATTCTTATGCCGTGCCCGATTATAAAATATGCAATCCGTTTGAGGATACAAAAATTCTCCAACACCCCTTCCTGAACTAGAGCAAAGAACTACTCGTAGAATTCTCTTTCCCGTCTCGTTCGAAAATGTTCTTATAATTTATCTTTGAACTCCCTCCACGATCGGATTGGATCTGTTATGTCTCTCCACTGATACCAAGACAAATCCTTCCCTTCCAAACAAAAAGTTGCTTCCATGAGTCTCTCCTCTATCAGCCTATTCATAGCAAAGTACCTCTCCACCTTATAGATCCACCCATGAGCATATTCCCTTTCAAAAAATCGGTATCCTTAGCTTTCTCACTCCCCAAATTCCTCTTCCACCTTCGGGTCCTCCCATGTTGGGATTGTTATTATCTCTCCATTGTTCCCTCCCACCAATCCTCCTTTCATAGATATCATTTTCCTCAAAATCAACCCTCCTTGTTTCTTCCTACCAATTTCGTATGCCCTATCCTTCACAAATTTTCCTCCTGGTTATCAATTCAAGAGATTGCATATTTTCCCTGTCGCCCAGAATTTCTACCTCTCGATCATCCCCCATTGTGCCGATATTAGGGTTCTTTCCACTTCCTTGGCTACCAACCGGTCCTCTTGCCTCCGATGCTGCCGGTTGAGTGTGAAGCTTCAATATTTTCTTTTTCATGTTTATAAATGGAAAAATTACATTATACTAATAAACTTTTAGCAAATTGCTAGAAATTTTAATTGGATTTGACATAAACAACCTTGAAAATGAATGATATCTAAAAACAGAAAACAACTCAAATTCTTTTGTTAAAGTAAAAAAATCAGAATTTATGTCCGCGTCATTACTCTTTATAAATTCTTATCGTATAGAACCTTTAACATCTTGCCTATGCATGAGCTCTTAGTTTAAGTTTCTGCTCCTTGAGACCTTCTCAACTCCAATTCTTCCTTGTCCTAATTTTCTTCTTTTCTTCTTTTTGCCCACTGGTGTACACGAACAGATTTGGTTGGTAGTCAGGCTCTTCGTGATGAAACAACAACCTTCTTTGTTTTTAGATATGTTTGAGTTTGGTATTAGACATAAGCATGTTCGCATGAAGCCATGGATTTTGTTAGTTTATTTATTCTAACTATCTCTATTAGGTGATATAATATAGCTGTTTTAGAAATTACCAGCAATTGCCAATATTAAAATTTTGTTACACTATCGCCAAATTTCAGTACTTCCTAGTTTATAATTAGTTTTGAAATTAGCAGCTAGTATTAATTCTGAAAACTTTTTTTGGAATTGTTTTGATTGTTTTAGATGCCATCTGCGGGGAAATTATTGACAAATATGCATAGTGTACTTTAATTGTTTTAGCTGCATTTCATCGTTTTGTGCAGCTAAATAAAACATTTCCTTGTTTTGCGTTTTTTTTCTCTTTAGGCTGTTATACATATGCTATTTTTTTGTTATTAAGTTGAGCTATCTTATGATCTTGTGAAATGGTTTATTTTTGGGAAGGTTAAAAGATTCTTACTGAATTCTGCAAATAGGGCCCACAATATGTTTGCACAAATTTCTGGACTTTCATCTGTACAAACTGCAGTGGGTTACAGTAAGCATCTCACTTTCTTTACAAATTTGAAAATCTTCATCAGAAATTTCTGTTACAATATCATATGTCAAATTACTTTATGTTGACATTGATTTCTAATATTGATGATGATGTGTTTGATTAGTCTTGATGATGCACTTTTGAATAACTGGCAAACCAAAATGTTTGAAAATTGTATTGGTTTCTATACTAATTGAATCTTTGTTCTTAGTCGAGAGTTTACTCACCGAGTAAAATCAATATCCATGGCCAAATTTACATCCCAGGAGGTTAGTGCGCTGCAAGAAGGGGGAAATGAGGTAATCTTATTCATTCATATTTGATACTCTGAAGCTGTTCTCTGTTGGAAACAGCCTGTTTTTTATTTACTAGAAAGTTTCTTCCATACAGCGTGCTAGGGAAATTTTTTTCAAGGAGTGGGACCCTCAGCGACACTCTTATCCAGACAGCAGGTTGTTTTTGATCTCTACTATTGATCTCTTGCCTCCTCAGCAAGTGAAAATTAATCTAGTATTTGGTATCAGCCATCTTGACAGGCTCAGAGATTTCATTAAGCATGTTTACGTTGAGAGGAGATATGCTGGTGGGAAAAGTATTGGTGGCCCTAATAATGTGAAGGTGGTTATATTTACTTATAATATATGATCCTTTCTATAAAATGCGTCTCTTTATGAAATGTGGAATCAATTATTTTATTAATTTATTTTCAGCTTTTGATTTCATTTTAAGAAGCCAAATCTGCATTTAATCTACAGGGTGAACGAGAGGATTATGATGACAACCGAAGCTCCAACACTGGTCGTAGTGGTTCACGGAGTCCACCTTATTATGATCCATATGAAGGTCGATATGGTGAAATGCCTGGTTCTGCTGGAACGAATGATGATAGAAACTCTCGCTCTAGCTATGAGACAAGAAGCCCTAGCTACGTTCAAGCTGATTATAGAAGTTCTAGCCATTTTGAGATGAGGGATGAAATACGCCGAGATGATAAAGCTGGAAATGAAAATCAAAGTCCAAAATATTTTGAAAACCGAATTTCAGAAGGATTACCGAAGCCTGGAGTGTCTGATCACCAGAAGGGTGTATATATATCAAGTCCTCCAATGGTACGTCCAGTGAGAGATATATTGGGTTTTGATGCCCCCCCTCTTCGAGTCAGTGAACCTCCACAGATGAATGCTGGAAAAGTGCCAAACAGTCCTTTAGAAAAACAGGTTCATTTTTTGTTCATATTAAAAGTTTAATCTGTTGGATTTGTTGATGTGTTTAATAGTTAATCACGTGTTCACATACAGTTTGAGCAATTTGCTAGATTACATTGAAGATAGCTTTCTGTATAAACTGTGGCATTCATCATATCATTTGTACACTTGTTATCATTGTGTTGAGTATAGTCTCTCTCTCTCTCTTAATGAGGGTCGTTAATTATCTTTAAGATTGTACAGTACTTGGGGAAGGATTTGGACTTACCTACTCCTTTCTTTGGAGAGCAGGAGTACTATTAATTTAGGAATTTGTTAGACCGGCTGGTCCGGCTGAATATGTCCATCCTGGACTGGTTCCCTTCTACAGGAGGCGGGCCCAAAGGAGGGGGGTGGAACAAGGGTTGGGCCTACTCATTGATTGGAGCAAAGATTTAGGTGGGAAAATTCAAAATTGGTAGCTATTTAGGGATTAATTAATTGTATTTAGATTTAAGTAATTTCCTTTTGGTTAGGGTTAGGTTTATCTTGAATTTGGAGGCTGAATTTGAGATCTTGTGTTTTTCTTTTAGGCTCCAAGCTTTTGCTAGAGATTTGGAGAGTTGAATCTTCCTCTCCAATTGATGATTCATTGTATCGGTTTGCTATTTTTCTTCTATTGCTGAAATTTAAGTGATTTTCACTCTTATTTCTCTACAGATCTTGCAAAAATCTATACCGTTTTGCTGAATTCAGCAAAGTTCTGCGCTATTGGTGGCTGTTTTATTTCAAATTGGTATCAAAGCACTGATTTAAGGGAACTAATGGCTGGAAGAAAAGTGAAAGTTTTGGAGAGAGAATTAGATCAACTAAAGTAGATTTTGAAGAGAAGATTTCTGATCTTATCAGTTTGTATCCGTCCATGAAAAGATGGATGTAAGGTTTGCCATGGTAGATGACATATTGAAGAAATTGCTTGAAGTCAAACCCAATCCGGTGTCATCTGAAGTAAAGGAAAATACCGGCGGCCATTGAAGAGGTGGGAACCCTAATATGTTTAGGGAAAGGGAAAATCTAGAAGTGGAGATTCTAGAGGGATAAGACGGAATGGCTCTACTAGAGCCACTTTCGAGAGAGGAGATGTGTATCGGCTACGAAAGGAGGTGCTGATTTTGTGTTGAGAGGGGAGGATTTCGATCGTCGGGGTGCTGATTTTGAAAGAAGAAGATGAGATTTTGATGAATGATTTGTGTATGAGTGCGGAAGAGAAGTGCGTGATAATCGGGGATCACCTCCTCTTCGAGTAATGGGGGCTATAGAGGATTCAGGGGAAACAGGGGTGACCTGAGAGTAAGGAAGCTGTGGATGCCCATCTTTGAGGGCAAGGACGCACATGGGTGGATCTATAAGATAGAGCGATACTTTGTAGTCAATGGGTTGACACAGGAGGAGAAATTAACATCAGTTGGACTGTGTTTACAAGGGAAGGAACTGGCTTTGTACTAATGGTGGGACATGAGGCGGCCCATTCAGAATTGGAGGGAGTTCAAGGATTGTTTATTAGAACATTTCTGAACAAGTAGAGAAGGAGGCTTCAATGAGAAATTCTTTGTCCTGACACAGGAGGGGACCGTGGCAGAGTACCATGATAGGTTTGAGTATCTTACCAGTAGGCTAGAATGACTTTTAGAGACAATGCTAGAGGGAAACTTCATAAAAGTGAAGGGAGAGATAGTTGACAAAGAGGTGGTGGTGCTTATTGATGGTGGGGCCACCCATAATTTCATCTCCCATCAGATTATTGATCTGTTAGGGGTGAAATTAGTGGACACTGGGGGCTATGGTGTGATGATGGGCACAAGGAAGGTGGAGATGGGGGGAGTAGTGCTGACTATTCAGAGGATTGAGATGAGGGAGGATTTCTTTCTGTTGGAATTGGGAAGCACTGACGTCATCTTGAAGATGAAGTGGTTGCAGACCTTATGAGATACCAAGATAAATTGGGGAGCGTTGAGGATGGAATTGGAGGTGGAGGGAAGGAGGATAGTGATTCAGGGAGATGCAAGATTATCTAGAGCCATGATGTCTCTCAAGACCATGGTCATGACCATACAGGAGGTAAGGAAAGAGTTTCTGGTGGAACTCTAGAGCCTAGAAGGGGTGACATTGGAGGCAGAGGGAGACATTTGTTTGTCTGTAAAACCACTCATTCAATAGTTCAAGGATGTTTTTCAACCAGCCCAAGGCCTTCCCCATAGAGGGAGCTGGAGCATGCCATTACCTTGAACGAGGGTGTATAACAAGACCGAAGAGGAGCATCTGCCACTTTCCAGTTCCCGATGAACAAGGTGTTCTGACCGTATCTCAAGAATTTTGTCGTAGTTTTCTTTGATGATATACTGGTGTACAGCAGGATTGAAGAGGAGAATCTAGGACCTTTGAGGTTGGTCTTTGAAGTTCAACAGGAGCATCAGTTAAGGGCCAACATGAAGAAGTGTAGCTTCGCGCAGGCTAGGGTGGAGTGCTTGGGGCACGTGGTATGACATGAAGGGGTGGCAGCTGACCAAGCCAAAATTGAGGAAATGCAGAAGTGACCTTTACTTAGGAATTTGAGAGATCTGAGGGGTTTCCTAGGGTTGATTGGATACTATTGGAGGTTTGTGAAGGGGTACAACAACATAGCTTGGACTTTGACAGAGCAGCTAAAGAAGGATAACCACTTGTGGGAAGAAGCGACTACCTAGACTTTTGAGAAACTGAAGAAAGTCATGACTACAAAATCAGTTTTAGCTTTACCAGATTTCAGTTAGACTTTTGTGGTGGAGACAAATGCATCCGGATATAGGTTGGGGGCAGTGTTGATGCAAAATCATAGACCCATAGCCTACTTCAGTCAGGTGTTGACAGCTAAAGCTTGGATGAAGTCTGTGTATGAAAAGGAATTGATGGCCATTGTGTTAGCCATTCAGAAGTGGCGTCCATACCTGCTTGGTCGTCATTTCAACGTCAGAACAGATCAAAGGAGTTTGAAGTATTTGCTAGAGCAGAGGATGGTGACTGAGGAACATCATATGTTGTTGTCCAAACTCTTGGGATACGATTTTGAGATCCAGTACCGATCAGGGTTGGAGATTGAGGCAGCTGATGCCTTTTCCAGGTATGGGGGAGAGCTCCAGAAGATGACCATTTCAGTACCCCTGATAGTGGATTGAGGGGCTATCAAGGAAGAAAGTGTGCGGGATGAGGAGTTGAAGAAGATTCAAATGGATTTGCTACAAGATAGCAGTAGCCACCTAGGCTACTCTCTAGAGGGATAGAGGCTATTGTTCTAAGGGAGGTTTGCGATGTCACGAACCTCCATCTATCCCATTTACAACAGGAGTTCTATGGGAGTGCGGTTGGAGGCCATTCATGGGTACAGATGACATATCGAAGATTGACAACTAAATTATACAGGAAGGGTATGCACAAAGATGTGGAGGAGATGGTGGCAAGGTGTGGGGTGTGCTAGAGAAACAAGTACATGACTATGGCTCCAGGGCGGTTACTATAACCCTTAGCACTTCCAAACAGGATATGGGAGGAAGTGTCCATGGATTTAATAGATGACCTACCATGATCTGAGGGATTCACAGTCATTATGGTAGTGGTTGACATGCTGAGCAAATATGTGCATTTTATTCCCTTACAACATCCTGCACCGCTATTATAGTGACTACAATATTTATCTGGAAGGTGGTTAGATAGCACGGAACTCCAGAGTGATAGTTTCTAATCGAGATAAGGTGTTTCTCAATTAGTTTTGGAGGGAGCTATTCAGGTTACAGTGTACTGTTCTTAAGAGAAGCACCTCCTACCACCCTTAGACGGACGGTCAAACGAAGGTTGTCAACAAAAGCTTAGAGACTTGAGGTGTTTTGCTTCCGAGACACCACATATGTGGGCCACGTGGTTAGTATGGGCCGAATATTGGTATAATGCATTGTACCACTCAGCTTCCTAGATGATCCCTTTTAAAGTGCTGTATGGAAGGGACCCCCACACTTGGTTCATTTCGGGCAAGGAGTTACACCAATATTGTCAGTGGAGCAGCATTTTTAGGAAATGGATAAGGTGCTAGAGCAATTAAAATGGCACATGTTGAGGGCACAATAGATGATGAAGAAGCAGGCAAATGCACATAGGAGAGACATCCAGTTTGAAGTGGGGGAAGTGTTCCTAAAACTGCGTCCCTACAGACAGAAGACAATGACCAACAGACTAAACGAGAAATTGTCCATGAGGTACTTCGGCCCCTACGAGATATTGGACAAGATTGAGGCGGTGGCATATCGTTTGAACTTACCTCCATCTGCCACTATACATCCAGTCTTCCATGTGTCACAGTTAAGGAGAGCTCTAGGAGAGCATATAGCTAGTGCAGAGTTACAAGCAACATTGAATGAGGAGATGGAAGTGGTGTTGGAACCATTGGAGCTAAAATGAGAGATCGAGAAATGGAGGGAACAAAGACGGAGCCGTGAGGGTGGCCGGCGGGTGGACTCTAAGGGGCGGCGGCAATGGAGCTAGGGGAATACTTTGTGGATGAAGAGGGGAGAAAAGAGAAGAACAAGAAAATACGAGAAAGATAGAGATAACTAACGAACTCACAAAGAGATTGTAAGAACCGCGAACCTCGGACTCTTCCAAAGATTGGCGGGTATTGCGAATTACCCTCCTCGGGCTTCTCCTCTCATGAACTCACTAAGAGATCACGTGAACTCACTAAGAGATCAACAAAACATAAAACTTTTCATTATCAATAATCATCATCCCAAAATACAAGACAACTAGCCTATAAATAGGCCTCATGAAAAGAAAAGAAATAAAAGACTAAAATGCCCTTCGGGCTACAATACTACATGACCACCTATAAGGGTATAAAGGGAAAAACAATAATATGAAATAAACTAGTACATATAAATAAATAACTCAAGATCGTAGCCGTTGATCTTCGATGTCCTCATCATGATGCCTTTTCTAGGTGTGGGAGAGAGCTCCAGGAGATGATCATTTCAGTACCCCTGATAGTGGATTGGGGGGTTATCAAGGAAGAAAGTGTGCAGGACGAGGAGTTGAAGAAGATTCAAATGGATTTGCTACAAGATAGTAGCAGCCACCCAGGTTATTCTCTAGAGGGATAGAGGCTATTGTTCCAAGGGAGGTTTGTGATGCCACGAACCTCCATCTATCCCACCTACGGCAGGAGTTCTATGGGAGTGCGGTTGGAGGCCATTCATGGGTACAGATGACATATAGAAGAATAACAACTAAATTATACAGGAAGGGTATGCACAAAGATGTGGAGGAGATGGTGGCAAGGTGTGGGGTGTGCTAGAGAAACAAGTACATGACTATGGCTCTAGGGGGGTTACTACAACCCTTAGCACTTCCAAACAGGATAGGGAGGAAGTGTCCATTGATTTAATAGATGACCTACCATGATCCAAGGGATTCACAGTCATTATGGTAGTGATTTACATGCTGAGCAAATATATGCATTTTATTCCCTTACAACATCCTGCACCGCAATTATAGTGATTACATATTTATCTGGGAGGTGGTTAGATAACACGGAACTCTAGAGTGATAGTTTCTAATCGAGATAAGGTGTTTCTCAATTAGTTTTGGAGGGAGCTATTCAGGTTGCAGGGTACTGTTCTTAAGAGAAGCATCTCCTACCACCCTTAGACGGACGGGCATATCGTTTTGCTTTCGAGACACCACATATGTGGGCCACGTGGTTAGTATGGGCCGAATATTGGTATAATGCATTGTACCACTCAGCTTCATAGATGATCCCATTTAAAGTGCTGTATGGAAGGGACCCCCACATTTGGTTCATTTTGGGCAAGGAATCACACCAATATTGTCAGTGGAGCATCACTTTGAGGAAATGGATAAGGTGCTAGAGCAATTAAAGTGGCACATGTTGAGGGCACAATAGATCATGAAGAAGCAGGCAAATGCATATATGAGAGGCATCCAGTTTGAAGTGGGGGAGGTGTTCCTAAAACTGCGTCCCTACAGACAGAAGACAATGACCAACAGACGAAACGAGAAATTGTTCATGAGGTACTTCGGCCCCTACGAGATATTGGACAAGATTGAGGCGGTGGCATGTCGTTTGAACTTACCCCAATCCGCCACTATACACCTAGTCTTCTATGTGTCACAGTTAAAGAGAGCTCTAGGAGAGCATATAGCTAGTGCAGAGTTACAAGCAACATTGAATGAGGAGATGGAAGTGGTGTTGGAACCATTGGAGCTAAAAGGAGTGAGATCGAGAAATGGAGGGAACAAAGAAGTGCTGATTAAATGGAGGGGCCTACCCAACTTCGACGCCACTTGGGAAGCGTATGAGAGGGTGAAGCATCAATTTCCTTCATTTCACCTTGAGTGCAAGGTGAGTCTTTAGGAGGAGGGTAATGTTAAAACGACTGGGCCAGTTGAACCGGTCCCTCCTGGACCGGTTCACTTCTATAGGAGGTTGTCCCAAAGGAGGGGCGGAATTGGGGTGGGGCCCACTCTTGGATTGGAGAAAAGGTTTAGGAGGGGAATTTCAAAATTGGGGCCTGTGTTGGGATTAATTAATTGTATTTTGCTTTAAGTAGTTTCCTTTTGGCTAGGGTTAGTGTTATCTTGAATTTGGAGGCTGAATTTGAGATCTTGTGTTTTACTTTTGGGCTCTAGGCTTTGGCTAGAGATTTGGAGTGTTGAATCTTTCTCTCAAATTAAAGATTCATTGTATCGGTTTGCTACCTTTCTTCTATTGCTAAAATTTAAGTTATTTTACTCTTATTTCTCTACAAATCTTGCAAAAATCTGCTTCGTTTTGTTGAATTTCTTTGAAATTCAGCGAATTTCTGCATTATTGGTGGTTGTATTCTATCAGAATCACTTGGCGGTTAGGGTTGTCATTCTTTTTATTGTGGCTTCATGTCTTTTAGTGTACTTTTATCAAGCATGAAACAACTTTATGCAGTTTGAACATTGAAAGTCTCGGTAAAATTCACTTTATTATGTTCTTTTGTACTCGCATATACCTTCACAAGTGTCTTATAAGTAGTCGGTGGGTTGCGATGAAGGGACTCGCCCAAGTAGATGCCATAGGAGAACTCGCTCGATGGTCAAGGGGAGCAACTCATCTAGTATACATAGGTAAACTCACCTAAATGATCAACAGGTGCTACTTACTTGGGCCCACTAAGAGAAGTCATCCCCCTCATAAAGGGGCAATTCAGGTTCATCACCAAGCAAACAATTGTCATCTGTCACATGAGAAGATAGTTGTTGTGATCACTTGTTCTTCTCGAGAGGGGGCATCCTCACTTATACACACTAAGCTTAACTTCAGGAAAGTGCCTACTCACGTGGCCTTTAGCTCATTTTGCCACAATCATCTGACCTAGACATCTCCTTTCTTGCAACAATAACTCACTCGTCTCTCTTATAAGGCGATCGAAGGCCTTCAACACAAGTCGATGGTAATCTCAACAAGCCCTCCAGTTGCTGGCTCCCTCATCTTAGCACTTGGCTATGGACCCAAGCATAGTCATTCAAACTTACTCGACACTACTAAGCTCGACCCAGAGGAAGATTATTAAAGGCCATTCGATGCTGCCCCCTCTAGCCAATTATGAGGCGACATGTGTTTATTATAGAATGTATCGAGAGTTATTTTAGTCAATATATTTTCTATTCTTTTTTATATAAACTTTCTTGTAGCCTTTGGATCCTTAAAAATAAGTGGTGAAAATGAGCATTTTGAATTATTATACATTTCACATATATTTGCATGTTTTGCTCATCTTGCTGACTTTGTGAGATTTTGAGCCCCATAAGCATTTCTCTACATATTCTTTGTAGTGAACTACCAAAAGGCTCGTAAGGTCTGATATCATCCAGAGACCAATTTAGATCCAATATGATCAAAGGTCCGGGGAGCGTAGACCGATGGTGGTGACAAAAAAACATACTCATATGAATGAGCTGAGTGCCCGTGAGCCATCAATGAACATGTTGAATCTCAACTACACTACTCGTTGATATCTGATGGAAATGTAGAGGTTGATGATTCGAAGATGCCTTGGGAGGGCAGCCAAAGTGAGAACAGAGGGACAACACCTTTGAAGGTTCATCTGACATGTTAGTCAGTTGTAGGATACCATACTATGATGCACAGACACAGCGACACAGATACGACACGATACGGACCCGGGACACGTCAATTATTGAAATATAGAACACGGACACGGGTTGGACACGGTATTATATTCTTTATATTTTAGAAATAGTGTATAAAAATTAAATAAACATAATTTAAAAATAATTTGAAAATATTAAGTCATTTAACTAAAATTTGTGCTTAAAATGATTAGTATTAGAATGTCGAGAGTCAGGGGTCGATGCCGTTTATCAGTCACCGAGAGAGGAGATGAAAATACCTTCACTGCCAAAAAAAGATGACTGGGTATTAAGTGCGGACGTTGATTTTGTGTTTTGGATAGGAAAGAAGAAATTTAGTTTAAATCCTGCCAAATACAAGAAATTATATTTAAAAAAAATTCATAAAATATTTAAGATACGTGTGTCAGACACGCATGTTCAATTTGTATTTAATATTTTTTAATCGGACACGTTTTCGGCATGTCCGACACGTGTCGGAAGAGTGTCGTGTCGGATACGGCTTCGGACACTGCACGCCTCTTTGAGGAGAAGTGTCGGTGAATCATAGATACCATATGACTTTATCACTAGTTCTTGATCCTACTCGCACGCTAATGAGTGATGAATAAAACAACCTGCCTGGCTGGCGAGCTAGAAGAACTATTTCTCATCATTAACTTTATCCCCAACTATTTTGCATCAACTTCATTAATCCTTATCCTTTCATTTCAATTTTATGCTGTGTTGTTAAATCTAGCTTTTGCAGATTTTGGTGTATAGGTTTTACCAGGATTACTTTGATCCATCCCTTCCTCTTTCTAATTCTTTCACCTTAATTTTGTCTATCAATCTTATTTCTGTATCATCAGATGTCTGCTATTCTTGTCCAAATCATGTAGGTCAAAGTCTATTTTAACCTATAATAGATGCTAAAACTGCAGTTTGTTTAAAATAAATATCTCATTCCTAGACTTCCTAATTGTACCCCACATCTATCCATCATTTAGGCTCGTTATCTTTCTATGCTATAACCCTTAATGTCGTCTATATTTTATCATGATTATTATTACTTTTTTTTTGCTTGGCAGGGCTCTGCTTCAAGTAGCAAGGGGCCTATTGATGGGAATTCAGCGGAGTTGAAAAGGGTAAATTCTGGAAGTTTAATCGACTTCTCTGCAGACCCTGAACCTCCTGCTGCTAGTCTAGCTCAGGGATCTTTTGCTCTTCAAAGCGGCTCTACACCTGCTAATAGTGTTGGTTGGGCATCTTTTGATGTTTCTAGTCAACAGAAGGCACCGGAGGCAGTTTCAACATCAGGGGATCTGGAATCTGTGTTTGCACAACTGTCGGTTCATGCATCTACATCAGTAGTGAACTCTACTATATCACCTGTTGCAAGCAACGACTCTTTTCCCATAGCAAATAATGGTGGAAAATGGCCAGCTGTGCAGCAGCAGGTTTCACCACTCCCAATTGCTTCTAATCGGTCAACCAATCCGCTAGTCCATACACTTGTCGGTTCCCTAAACAACCAGGTAATTTTTTTAATCCATTTGTTTACTGGATTCTTTTTTACAACCAGGTAATTTATTTTTAAATTGCTGGAATTTGTAATATTACCATGAAATGTTTCTTTTGTAGGTATCCGCTCAGCTGGCTGGCCCATCATTTCCAGGAAGTGTAGAGGGTACTGTGGCTGTTCTTGATGGGCATACTTCTCGCCCTGTCATGAATCCGTCAGATAGGCCAGGCTACTTTCCAAACCCTTTAGAGGCTAATAATAGTGGAAGGAAAGAACTACCAGCGGTAACATTTGTGTAAACTATATTTCATAAACTTTACTGTAAATTATATTTTGAACTGATAGTCTTGATTCGGATAGGTTCATTGTCTTCCTATCGATTTACCTCAAGCTGAAGCGGATGATATTTAATTTTTTCAGAACCTCATTGATTATTCTTTTGGCACTTAATTGGCTTATCTTTATGCTTGCAGGATCTATTTACTGGACTCTATCCAACATCACCTGCTTCATATACAGGGTGGAGAGTTGGACCGCGCCATGGTATGGTCTACGGCATACAATATCCTGTCATGATGGTGTGTATTATCTTGCACTTGATAATTCTCCTTGAAAATATTTGTTTAAAACATTCTAGTCGTTCTTTTTATCTATTATGACGTAAATAGGGTGCTGTCCAGCGACCTGTGACAATGTTTCACAATTCCCCAACTTCCATGAATCCATTTGATCTTGCTAATGAGTCAGCTCCAGCTCCCAATCCTATGGTATGCCCAAACCTCCAAATTTTATTTTTTTGCTGCAAACTTGAATGGTACACTACGGACATGCTTATGAAACTTAATTTTTGTCCTAGAATTGGTTAATAAATAAAGATTTAAAAATTCCTATTTTAAAATGTTTCTTTTTTACTCATATGAACACTTAAAATTTGAAAATCTGATAAAATGTTCAGCTTGTTTTGACATTTTTTATTTTACATCTGACATAAAATTGTTGATAATCTAGATATGCCGATCTAAAAAGTTGCCATAGTGCGATTGCTTTTTTTTGTTTGATTATTGGCTGGGAAAAAAAGGGGAAAAGCTTCAGTGCATTGTCGAAGTGATCATCAACAATGGTCTAGGGGTTTCCTTATGATTGGATTCTTTACCTAATGAAAAATTTTGAAAACCTTGTGCCTCTTTAGCATGCATCATACGATGATGGAACGAGAAGTTTGATAGGTTACATCATACCCAAAGCTGACAAGGAATATTTTCTGAAATTTTCATATTATCCGTCTTTGTCACAAAATCTGCGGGCTTTCAAGTGCCTGAGTCCCACAGTTATCAACCTGTTTTTGTTGATGGCTAAAGAGTTTTTTGATGACTTGCTAATGATTGTTGCTCAACCTTCGGCTCAAAATTTTGGGTTGAAATTTTCTGGGAACCTTGTCAGTCAATAAAGCTAATATATGGTTTCTGGTTTTGGTCTTGGTTTGAATTGGTCGAATCAAGTAGGTTGGATGGCAGAATAAATATCAGTCAATTCAAGGTCATTGAATTGGTATGGGTCTGCTCTGAAATTGTTGTAATCGGAGGCCTCTTAAGGGACAACGGTCAGATGGCTGATAGAAGTGAGTAGTTGTGAAATCCTAGTTAAGATTCTTGCATCCAAGGATTTAATTTTTCCCTCTAAGACTTATATTGAATAGAATTTGGCCAAGCTTGCATGAACTTGAAATCGAAAATTTAATTCCTGCTTGAATCAAGTTCGAAATACATTAAGTCATGCTAATTTACTCGAAATCAATCAAATTTGATTCACTTGAAATGGTTTTCAAGGAAACATGAAATTCAGCCATATACAAAAGGGGGTTTGAATTTGAAAAGCGAGGGGTTTGTTATGATTTAAGCGGTGCTGAATTTGAGAAGAGAATGTGAGAATTTGATGAAATACTGGGGTATAAATGTAGAAGGGTGTGGGCTTCGAAAATTCGGCCTCGGCCTCCGCCCGCTTTTCTTTTTATTCGGCGAGGGAGTTTTAACGAAATAAGTTTCGGGGTAAATTTTGGAAGGCAGATGGATTGTAGATAAAACACTACCCAGAGATTTCGCCCTCATTTTGTGAGGACTTTATGATCTGAGTTCTGGTTTCCTATAGGCGCAAGCCCCTATAGTTAATTACCCCTCCCGATTATGAGAGAGGACTTTCGATTAAGGCTAGTCGTCAATCAGATACGTATAGATACGTGTTATCTGACATGTAGTAGCAGCAATGGGTCTGGATTTGGGTATTTGGAAATGTTTGGAAAGTTTGATATTTAGGCATATTTGATATTTAAAATAGGAAATTTCACCATCTTGCACTTAAAGCGGATGGTGGGGGAATAGATGATGGATCCGATCAAGATCCCATGGTTCCGTCGTCCCGGGCCATCGTGATCCCTGGTCTACTTAGTCAAAGGAGGTAGTCGACCCAACCTGACAGAAGGATCCTTGTCGGCAGCCATGGGTTGCTTCGTCCAAGGGGACCTTGTAGACCGGGGTTGAATGTTTGTCTAAGGGGACTGATTTGAATCCACCTTAGCTAACAAAGGGTTTTGTGCCCTATCGATCATATCCTATTGATTCATATCTCAAGGATTTGATGCCAATAACGTATCGGCGCTGGCCATAACCGGTATTTCTTGGTGCCATTTGGCGGCAAAACCACTCGGTTCAGAGGGCCCCGGGTCATAGTCGTTTATCTTGCGGTGCCATTTGGCGGCAAAACGCCGATCAGAGGACGCGTACCACGTCCTTACTGGCAGGAGACTGTTTGAGAATGGATCCCAGTGATATTTTAAACTAGACATTTGACTCTTTGTGAGCTAGAGTTTATTTGAATTTGTCCACCCTGGCAGACTGTTGCGGAGGGTGGATGGGCTTTACTTTAAGTGTTTGATAGTTGGATTTCAATTTTAAATATTTTTGGGGTTTTAGGATTTTGAGATTTTTATAGGATTTTTGTGGGTATTTTAGGTGGAGCTATGGACTTTGGATATTTGGGAGACATTTGAAGATATTTGGAAACCCCTCCGGTTGAGATCTGCATTCAACACGGCTATCATCGGGGTATTTGGGGTCATTTTCTCTTTATTGATCGAACCTTATCAACTCTGTCGGGCTGTCGACAGAGGATCAGGTTTCGTAGGCTTTATGCCCTTAATAGTGAATTCTCATTGTTATAGGCCTTGAATGCCTAATATGAATGTATTAAAACAAATATTCGGGTCGCCACGGCCACATCTTTGCTTAATGGTTCAAACCCTGTCGACTCCTATCGATCAATATAGAAGGATCGGGTTCGAACTTGAATTCACTTGTCAACCCGCGCAGCATCCCTAGACGTCACGTGTGTACCAATAACATGCTCGCCGGGGCCCATGCGGGTTTGGGATTATTTTTACCCATTTTAGTGTACCTAAGTGTATACAAACTACGGTGCACGTGCGGGGGTATTTCATAATATTTATAGACGCATTCTGTCTGCTTGTACAAGGGTTGCAGATCCGGTGACGTGGCGTAGCATCTTCTGGATAGAATTGTTCGCTGCTTCGTACAGGTAGACTGTCGTGCACTATTTGTTGATTTTTGTAGGCGGGTTATAGTGCACTAACTAATCTCCTCCCTTAACCCGTAGGAGCTCGTATTTGCTGAAAGCCTTATGTATTTGCTCGTAGATGTCACTTAATGTTTATACCGGGTCTCTTATAGAAACTCGTAGGAACTTGCATTTGCTACACTCATTTTTGTATTTTGTTTGTAAACAGTATATTGGGTGTAGAATATATCTCCTAGAATAGTTCGTAGGAGCTTGCATTCACTGTGATATTCTCCCTTGTAGGTAGGTTATGAACACAAATTCCTTATCTCTATTCATGATTAGTAACATGTAGGAGGGCCCTTTGATATTTCAATGAAATTCCTTGTTGTCGACTGTAGACATATTATTGCATACGAATCACTATAATTCACAACGAATTTGTTGTTGTGTTCAGTGTATGCCTCTTGAATGTGTTTGTAGACTAATCGCGTGATGAACACAACTGCTGTAATTGATCACTATCATTCTCATATGATAGATAAAGCATCAATTTTGTTTTGCATGAGTTTCAAACTTATATGTTTAATCACTTCTTATTTTAGAGATTTTAGCATTAGACATTAGATTATGCTCTTTATAATTACAAATCCAGTTCATGTTCTCCTTGATGTTGTATAGTTCAAGTTCAGTGTCCACTGTAGTCCAACTCAAATCTTTGTTTGAGTTTAAATGTCCAAGTCATGTCTTTGTTCATTTCAAGCTCTAGTTTTGATTTGAGTTCCTTATAGTTCAAGGTTGATTCTTTGCTCACATCATTTGATTTTCAAATCAAGCATGAGTTCAAGTCCGAATGCACAAGTTCAAGTCCAAAAAGTCCCCTGAGTCCTTGTAAGTTCAAGATTGAGTCCTTGCTTGAGATCAAGTTCATGTTCAATTTCATTTCAAATATTTTTATAGTTCATTTTGTGTCCAAATACAAGCCCGAGTCCTCTGCTTCAGTTCAGGTTCAAGTGTGAATCCAAGTTCATTTGAGTTCAATCAAGTCCACTGTTCTAGTCATTCAAGTTTAAACAGTCCCCTACAGTTCACTTCAGTTCGAGCCGTTCTCTTGTTTCGTTCGCACTTGAAGTTATTAGATTGTTTGAATTTGAATTAAGTCTATTTGATGCTCCAATCAATGTCCAAGTAGAGCTCCATATTGTCCCAAGTACAAATTACATTTACCCGAAATTTCGGTAGCCTTCCGGCGTCTCACCCGTTTAGGGGAAAACTACTGAAAACTGGGCCTCTCGCCACGCTAGAGAAAAGCGTGCACGGTAGGTGCCCTCGGACGAGGACACCGCGGCCGTAATATTTATTATTCCTCACCACGCCAGGGAAAGGCGTGCATGGGTTGTGGGCACCAATTTAAAATAAGCAATTTTATAATTTACCCCGCCTCGCCGTAGGCGTCGCACCGGATTCCCTTCCCACCACGCTAGAGAAAAGCGTACATGAGTTGGTTTTCCGGTCCGCCGCTAACGCCGAAAATGGGGTTTTGATTCCCCGCCCCGTCGCAAGCATCGCAACGAATTCCCTTCTAACCACGCTAGAGAAAAGCGTGCATGAATTGGTCGTTCACCGCGTTGCAAGCGTCGGGAAAAGAACCACTTTTTTATTTATATTTTATAATTTATTAGAATTAATGATAATTAATTATAATTTAAAATATAATTAATTATAATTATAACAATTAATCATATTTAATTATAACTAATAATAATTAATTTAATTTGCGGCAGCTGCTTGGGATCGGGCAAGGTGGAGTTCGGCCAGGTAAGAGGAGCTCGGTACTCTCCCTCTCTCTTTCTTTCTCTCTCTCTTTTTCTCTCTGCGGAATGGAGGAGTCGAAGCAGGTAAGGGGCAACGGGATGGGAGAATCGGAGGAAGAGCTCGTGCGAGAGGAGACCGTAAACAAGAGCAGCCATCGCCTTGGCTTCGTTCGGTATTTAACGACACGGAAACGGTACGATCCCACGAAATTTCTGCAAGAATCGCGAAGAAGCGATGCTAGCGGCGCCGAACAGTCAGGTAATGGGATTTCTTGCATAATTCCGAGATTACGTGGATTTTTATTTTGATTCTCTTTTTTCTTTTGTTTATTTTTGATCATTATCTTGTGGTCAACAGATGCCCCCCAACAAATGTGTATTGTGTCTGGAGCGAATCACGTTTGTTGTAAGCTGATTAACCCCGTGGATCTCTAGATATTTATCCTAGATGTCACACAAAGGATTTCATTTAGTGGATCTCCAAAAATTTTCTTGGATGT